GGATAAATTCGATATAGGTGACCTTGTGCTCAATCATAATGCGAGCATAATTCTTCCAACTACAGCTTGCGAAGTTCTTACGAAGGTGAACTCTAGTGATCACAGCAAAGGATCAAAGTTAATGACCCATCGTGACAGCCTTGAGTGGCGTAGTCATCATTGAACTTGTTGTATACTTGCGAGCAAAACTGCCCACAATTCGCGGGGCAAATGACAGGAGAACATTCGCGGAAGGACGGATACAGCGCAAGACCAAACTCGCAGAACTGGCGCGGGTTCGCATCGTTTATATCAGATAAATCGTAGAATAAACTCGGCGATTGTTCGGGCACAAAGGCGTATTCAAACTGGGTGATAGGGCCGGCGATAGTTTGCGTTCTACTGATCTTGATCGAGACGCCGGTGCCGTTTTCTACAGGCTTGTAATCCCTTGAATAAGTCTGGCCGGAATAAATTCGATATGCAGGAAACGGCTCAGGGATGGGCTGCTGGACAGATCGAAGATAGAGTGGAAAGGGGCAATGGTTTTCAACGCGAGCTTGGTGTCCTGCAGCGCAACCCAAAATAAGAGTCCAGGTAGCCGCCAAATGTCTCATTTTCTTCAGAAGGTCCATGACATCCTGTACCAGTACTGTATCGGCATGTGTTGTACATTCATTCATTGTTTTATCACGCCCGGTGGCTTCCAGCCAATAGGGCTCACTAGCTATTCATAGGTACATTTCTGGCCACTCTCCTCATCCCTTCCACTTCATCCCTGTCGTTCTCTGTTCTCTCCACTTCGTCTTTTCATCCCCAGCCTATGTCTACATTCATTGTTTATTACGCCCGGTGGCTTCCAGCCAATAGGGCTCACTAGCTATTATTCAATACACTTCTGCTGTCTCCCCTCATCTCCTCATCCTTGTTCGTGTTCTTGCTGATCGTCTTGCAGCTGCCTTTCCCCACCAACTGTCCGCATCTAGTTCTGTTTATTATAGATGACTAGCTAGCTTGAGGGCTATTCCCCAAGTGTTCGGAGTCCTATTCTCAGCGAA